GATCACGCGTATGTCGCTGCTGCGGCGGGTGCTCCTCGTGAGGCTGATGCGGACTTTGCTCTCACTGATGACGAGGGCGAAAAAGACTCGGCTCCGCCCCTCTTTGGGCTTTCTAACGCTGTAACTGCCGGCGATGATCGAGACGATGTCTCCATCGTTCGCAGCGCTCACCTAGGTGTCCATCCACTTCTCACCAAGGATGACGTTTCTGCGATGGTTCATGCCATCATCAGGCTGCCGAAGGGCGTGCGTCCAATCGATATCCTTATCAGCAACTCTGTCTCCGTAGTTTGGCGGCAGGACTGCCAGAAGAAGATGTTCGAGGACAGGCGAGATATTCTCGACGAGGATTTCCCGGCGATACTTCGCCGCATCGCCCGTTTTTACGGCATGCGGCAACAACAAGTAAAAATCAAAAAGCGGAGTTTATACACTTCGCTGGAGGATATTGCGGACGCGATACCTACTAGCCGAAGGACAAGTCCGCAGATGGCCACACCTACGACATGTCAGGCCTACGTGGATTTGGTGAAGTCCCGCCCTCCCTCCTTTGAGGACGAATATTGGTTGGCTGATGTACATAATCTTGTATGCACCGGCCGCCACATCGCTGAGCGCTCCTCTGCTAAAGGATTGACTGACGTTTTGGGTATCCTTTGGGATACCCTATCAGAAGCAGCCAAGGTGCAATACGGGTACACGGGCAAACAAAAAGACATGTTTGAAAGGCAGCCGCCGAACTTGGAGGGTTTCCGCCGCAAGGTCGCGCGCTCGGACGGCATGACGCGTGCCGAAAGGATGAGGGAAACGGTTGAGCGGTTCATCGATTCCATGCTTAGCGACCAACGAAACGTCAAGCGGGACCGTAATAGTGGGGAAATCGAGGCCATGAAAGGTGCTTTGCGAACCTATTTTGATCTCATGGCGAAACCAATTCAGCCGCATCCCAACCCCCAGATGAGCCTCTTTCGCAAATTCAACGACAAGATGAAAGAGTTGGTCGAGGCTAGGCTTGAGGTACCGCATGCACTTGCGAAAAACCACCCATTTGTGCAGGATGAGATGGCTTGTCTACTGGATAACTACGTACGACAATCTGAAGTCTTCGAGAAGAAAGTGGAGGAATTCTCGGCGGCCTTCCTTGACAATCATGAAGGATTTCCTAACCGTCTTCTCCTGGCAACTTTTAATCTTCTCTTTGTCGTCTTGAAGGAGATGCAAGTCAGCCGTGTTTCGGTGCATAGCCGTCCACTAGAGGCTTTCCCGGCGCGAAAGGCTGGGACTTACTTCCAACAGGGTGCTGGTCGTCTGAAGTACATCCCAACGGAGGCAACATCTGCAGCCGCGAGATTGGACGAATTGGAAAAGATGCTGAAAAAGCTTACCGTTGGAAATACCAAAACCACACCGAGCACCTCCTCGGGAAGTGCTGGCTTAGGTCTTGGCGCTGGTCCCACCGTCAGCGACACCCTTGGGAGCCGCAGCCGTATGACTCTGCCGGACGCTCTTCCTAGTACTAGTAGTAACGGCTTGGGAGTTGCAGCAGGAAGTTCGTCGCCTGCGGTGCCTCTCGAACTGAGATTCCAGCACACAACATACACCAAAGATCCTTTCAACAAACACTACGAAGTGTCTTACCCCCGTGACCAGTATGGTATCGCCAGAATGGTCATCAGGGACAAGTCTGGTGGCTCTGTCAAGTACTCACAGAAATCCGCTCAGCGAATCTGTGTCCTGTGTGTCGCAGGCTACTGTCCTGGATGTACTATCAGCCGAATTCGGACGAGTGATAGCCAACGCTCGAAAATGATCCAGCTCTGCGCTAAAGTTGGAGTTTCTGAGAAGGTCCTCAAGGATATGGGGCTTGTCGCTTTCAGTCGAACACGAAACCCGACTGGTACCTTCGAGGACGCTTGTGCCCGTGTAGCTGCCGGCAGTTCTGCAATTACAATCCCTCCTTCAAGCGAGATTGTGAGGCATCTGAAATTTGGGCTGGCTATCTCTTGTGCCAAGGACGTCGAGGTAGGTGGCACTAGTTACTCTGTCGCCACCCTACGCGATCTGCGCAACAGGGTGCGAATTCCTTGCACGGCAGATTTTTTCGAAGCAGCCTCGACGGGGAGCGGCCAGTCCGTCGGGGCGTTGACCGGAACAACGGCCTCAGAAACAGCTCCGCTGGAGTAAATATCGCGACGCCTGAAGTGGTGTCTTTATCAAACAAAATTGACGAAGTAAAGGGCTCTCCCTTAGTGGATCCCGAAACAGATCACGCCAATGAGTGTGACAGTAATGATAGTAAGAATGGTTATCGCTCGGGTTATCTCTCAGAGTGCACTTTGCCTCGAGTTGATAGCGTCGAGCAATTGCATCCCAGGAGCTCCACTTTTGACGAAGTTGCTTCGCTTGTTTCTCTGCAGTCTGAAGCTGTGCGTGACAGTGAAAACGAAGAAGAGCTACCATCTGACCACCAAAACCCCAGCGACCAAGGGGCGCCTATTTCTGACATCGAAAGCGATGCAGGGACTACTTTCTCATCTCCGTCGAGTCGTCCCTCCCGACGGATCTGCCTGGTGTCGGAATCTTTAACCTCGCTTCAGGCGCAGTCGGTTCCTGCGTCTGTATATGCTGCGTCATGCAGTGCTACCTCCGTTTACAGTGATGACCGCTCGCAGATTTCTGACGAGGAAGCTGCTGATGATGATGAGTACCTTGACGGTGAGCACTACCTGGGTGACGGGTTTGCAACTGCGGCTGCAGTATCCCCGCCAGTGAAAGGATTCCAATCCACCGAAGGGTCTGCCGATAGTGTCTTTGTCAACTCTGACTTCGAGAAACTTCAGGCGATGAGCCCGACAGAATATTTTGACTACTGGTTCAAAGCACTTGCCCGAGAAAAGAAGGCAGTCCAAGCAGAAGAACGCATTATCGTAACACCGCCAAGCATAGAGGTGACAGGTGGCGAGTCTGGCGAGGTTGCACTTCCTGCCTCGGGCACATTTGCATCTTGTCGCATTGAGTACGAAAGTGCTGGACAGATGCAGTCCCATGAATCACAGACAGTCAAACGGCGGAACTTCGTGTTTCCGGAACTTCTTCCCCAGACCATAATCACAACTCCGACCATAACATACTACCCGCGTACGGTAGCGATAGACCGATGTGAATCGGCACTAAAGCGCATGCATCTTGCCGGGCGCCTCGTCGCGTCTCCGCGGACGTTAACGCCGGCCGCCGGAACAGGAAAAGAGGTCGATCTGTATGATTCAGCCATGGAGAACCATAGAAGTTTGCTGTCTTGTGCTCTCACTCAGCCGGAGCATACCATGGTTTGCGTCTGGGGTCCGCCTGGAACCGGCAAGACACGCGTTAGTGCGGAACTGGCCACGCAAATATCGACGAATCGTGGGCCTGTGCTCTATGTCGCGCCAGGTAATGCCGCGTGCTCGGGGTTTTCGTACCGTGCGGAGAAGTCGGGACTTAAGGTAGTGAAGGTGCTTAGCGAGACGAGACGGGCTCAGCTGACTACTCCTGATCCTCTCGACGTCTGGACGATCATTGACATTCTACACCCTGAAGCAGCAGCTCTTTGGAAACAAATCGCTAGTGCAAATGGTAAGCAAAAGCGCAAGCTTCGTGAGAAATATGACACACTAACCAAGACACTGACACAGAGAATTATCAGCCATGCTGATGTCGTCGTGGCCACCGTCGCAACTGCTGCCACACTGGAGGCAACCTTCCACACCGCGCTCATTGATGAGGCATCCCAGTTGAGCGAGCCTTATTATTGGATCGTCATCGAGCGTGCGCCCCGGTGCATCCTCATCGGCGACCATCGTCAGATGGGTCCATACCATGGCAAAGGGGTCAACTCTGTCAAGGAGATCGGGATCTCGCTTCTCACTCGACTGGTCACTCGGGCAGAGGACTCCGTCTACATCTTAGGTGAACAGTTTCGCGGGCATCCAGATTTGATGTTCCCATATAGACACTTCTATCGAGGTCGTGTAGCAGCCGCGGCAGCAGCACCGACTGAGGCTCTCTATGAGCTCAACCCAAAAGAAGGGTGGATAACCACTCCTGACAGTGGCACTGCAAGTAGCGAAGCTAGTGTCGTGGCTGCTCTTGTCCAGCGATTCACATCGCAAGGCGTCGACCCTAAACATATCCTCGTCCTCGCGCCGTTCTGCGCGCAGGTGGACCTACTGAAGAACCTCCTGGGAGAGTCTGTGCGCGTCTCTACATTTGCTGCTTGTCAGGGGATGGAGCGCCAGATCCTCATCGTGTCGCTCTGTGCCACTGGTGGGAACTCGCTGAACCCGCTTCAGAAATGCCCGAAACAATGCAACGTCGCACTGACGCGGGCACAGGTGGCCAGATTTGTTGTCGGGAACTTATCTCGTCTCTCGGGGACATGGGCCACCTATGCCGATTATCTCATCGACAAGAAAGCGGCATATCCGGCGTCATCGCCTCCGAGTTTCACTGTGACGAAACTGGCTGACCCTGCAAAACTCACCAGTTCTGGAGCACTCCTCACTGCAAACATCGCATGCGACCAGCTTGGCACGAAGCCGCTGAATTGTGCTTACATCTTACAGAAAAACCGGACAACAATACCTACAGCAGCTACGCTACTGGCGAGCATTAGCGACAGTGATGATGAGGGAGATCGCCTCCTCTCGCAGGTGCATGCGATCCACGACGTCGATGACGACGAACGTTTCGACAATCTTGAAATCTTTGACGCCGATTGCTCTTCTGTGGGCAACCACACCAGTGGAGACTCCGGCAACGACCGGGATTCTGGTAACCAGGTGCCCTTTGATAAAGTCGGGAGTACTTGCTCCGCGCATCGACAAGTCGCCAGTGACTACGACACGGACGACTATGAACGCTTCGACGATCAAGCAACCTCGGGGGCATCTGCTGAGCCGGCGTGTATACATGTCGTCAGGAAGGCCGATAGTAACAACGTCCCAGACGAGGCCTCTGCCTTTGATGCGGCGGATGGCGAAACATCATCTGACAGCATAAACAGGGTTCAGCAGACGCGCGCCAGTAACGACACTCCGCAGCCGGATGCCATGACACACCAAGAGGACCTTCTTGGGGGCTTTAGCTCTGACATCGACAAAGTCGCACCGCCATGCCTTTCGGCTGAACAGACGGCGCTGTCCTTAGCAGCATCCTCGACCGGTCCCTCATTCGACACGGATGTGACAACTCTAGGCACAGGCGGATCAAGAAATCACACTCCTGGGGCAGAAATCACATACCTTCAGCAGGATCCCGCAGTCGAGTA